TTCCAAGGCAACGTAAGATAGGTTCTAGGTTTGGGGGGGGTGGGGGGAGGCGAGGAAGGAATTAGGAGTTGAGTTTCTATCACAATTGTGGGGTCTTGTAGCTCAGTGGTTAGAGCACTCGCCTCGCAAACGAGAGGACCTGAGTTCGATTCCCGGGGCAGGGCAAAATGTCGGGCAAGTTTTGTTACTCCACACGCCTCTGATTACCTATCAGTAAGTAGGAACCCGGTTGTTAGTCGATTGGCGGATCGCTTTTCCAGGGCTAATAATTCCTTAATAAAATGAATAATAAATTGGTCACTCCAATCCATGACTGTTTGTGGGACACTGCTATGCCTAATTGGCTGCCGCATTTCGCCCACAAAATATACAGTCAATGCATTTTACAGTATATTCTGTGAAGTGCTTTGAGACGTCTAGAAGACGCGATAAGCCCCTACATCAAATGCAAGGATTATTATTATCTACCATGATCTAATAGAATGACGCAACAGGCTCAAGGGACTGAATGGCCTGCTCCTGTTCCTATGTTCCAATGAATATCAAAGGCAAGAGGTAGCAGGTAGAACAAAATGAGGTTGTGTGCCTCATGTGGAGAAAACCGCAAAGCTGATTTGACGGGCCAAATGGACCATTTATGTGCTGTGGTATTTTATGATTTTATGATCTGAATTTGGGAGGATTCCAACGTGGAGTAACAGTTCTTGTGTGGTTGTGTTTGTCACCCTCCTCCTGGAATACTGCACAAAACAAATTGCATATTTGACCTCATTTACTCAATGACTTTTTCAGTGGTCAGGTATCTCAGGATAATGTTCGCTGTTCCCTTCTTGGCAGGTTTTATAGAAGAGAAGAATTGATGTGTAAGAATTAATATTGTGTTTTCAAAGGATAAGTGGTCCAAGTATAATTTGGTTCTATGTGCCATTAAACATCAATGAACAAATTATTTATTGTCTTAATATTGGATGCATTTCATGTTATTATAAGAATTACACTGTTTTAACCAAATGTATAGAAATGTGTATTGTGTGCACTGCATCATATATATATATATATATCCACAACAACAACAAAATTACATTTGTAAAGCGCCTTTCACGTCAGGAGGACGTCCCAAGAAGTTGGACAGACAGAGTTACGAAGCTGAGGGTCAGGGTTGGGAAGGGTGGAGGGTGGGGTGGGGGGGGTGGGAAGCAAGGAGATAGAAAGCATGGTCGAAGAGGGGGGTCTTGAGATGGGTCTAACAGTTCTTGTGTGGTTGTGCTTCTCACCCTCCTCCTGGGATACTGCACAAAACAAATTGCATATTTGCATAATAAAGACAAAATGTCTGTGTATCTGTGTGAATGTGTGTCAGTGTATCCGTCAAACACGCAATAACCAATTGACATAGAGATATGATTTCTACCTCATCGGAAAGGTCCTGCAACTGGTAAGTGTCATGGGCATATTGTTTTTTTTTGGGGGGGGGAATCTTGTATAGTTGATGAGCTATATTAAAAATTGAGGTATGCATCGTATTCTGCAACTACTACTACTAATAATAATCCTTGCATTTGATATAGCGCTTTTCACGTCGTCTAGACGTCCCAAAGCGCTTCACAGAATATACTGTAAAGTGAATTGACTACATTTGTGGGCGAACGCGGCAGCCAATTGCGCACCGCAGTGTCCCACAAACAGTCATGGATTGAAAATGACCAATTTATTATTGTTTTGTTTTTTGGAGGGATTATTATTAGGTGTGTGGAGTAAGGAAACTTGCCCAAGGTTTCGCCCTCTGCTGGAATCGAACTCAGGTCTCTCACTTGCAAAGCGAGTGCTCTAACCACTGAGTTACAGGACTCCAACTACATAGCGACAGAGATACACATCTATATTCTGCAACAGAGTTTTAGCACTTTTTTCTGGTTGTCATGGGAGCTAGAGTCCTCCCTTGTGGGACAGAGAGAGAGACTGTGAGAGAGAATATATTATAAAGTGTAGTGACTGTATTTTGTGAGAGAGACTGGGAGAGAGAGACAGAGAGAAAATATATTAAAGGAGTCCTCCCGCTGAGTCCTCCCAGCTGAGTATAGAGACGAAAAGTCTCTGTGTGTGTCAATCTACATTCCATATTGGATCCTTTGGTTGCAAGCGAAGCTGCAATGGGTATACCTTGTATTTTATATATAATATATATATATACACACACACATACATGTAATGTATATTATTACCTGATACTATGTATAGGGTAATAATCCCTGCAACATATATATTTATTAAGAATAATTTGGTCACACTCAATCCACGACTGTTTGTGAGACATTTCTCTGTGCAATTGGCTGCTGCGTTTCGCCCACAATCCACTTTACAGTATATTCTGTGACGTACTTTGAGACATATCGAAGATGTAAGGTGCTATATCAAATGCAAGAATTATTATTATTATTACTATTACCTGCTAATTTCTCTCCCCCTAAGGGTGTCCGATTCCTTTTTCTGGGCATGTCGCAGATGTGCCTAACCCTGTCCTCACCTGATATTGATCAACGTCCAGTTACAAGAAGGGGTCTTTGGAGTTCATAAGACAAGTTTTGCATGAAACATAGAAACATGAGTAGGCCATTCAGCCCCTCGAGCCTGTTCCACCATTTTATATGATCGTGGCTGATCTGTAACTCAAGTCCAATTATCCACCATTGCCCCGTATCCCTTAATACACTGACATAACACATATGAAGAATGCCTTCCAGGCTATTTGCTCTTATTCTTCCAGAAACCCTTCCATTTCCCGTCACAGCATCAAACTATTTTTTTAAGTTACTCCTAACATCCTGGATTCGCCCTCCCTCCTTTTCCTGGTAACCTGTTCCAGTTTGTTACTCTCTGGGTAAAGAAATGTTACACAGAAAAAACTGTCTTCTTGTTAGGCTATCTCGGTGCTCTGGGCTCACTTTCTCAATCCCATTAAAATACTCTTCGAGTGTGCTGAATCACCCCAAGATTTAACTAGACAAAACAGTACAATCGCAAAAATAGGGGTTAAGGCACTTTATTTCACATATCAAAGCATTAAGAATTATTATTATTAAGAAACTGAATGTACACTATGAATAGCTGCATCCTGGAATTTGTGACAATTACACAACTTCCTTTTTTTATTCTAAATCTCTTTCAAGCTATATAAAAAAAACAAGATATACAGTTTATAATCCAAGCGATCCTCCAAACATTACGTCTTCCATTGAAATGCCTCGATTGTATTTAGCTGTTACACAGGTAAAATTCAATGCAACTAACAAAATGTGTTATAAATTATTTCCAACAAATATTTTAAAAATAAAAAAAACACTCGATATCTAAAGATTATTTTTTAATAGATAAAGGAGGTTGACTGGATGGGTTTAGTTTGGATTGTATAGATGAGAATTAGTTTAAGAGGATTTTGCTGCAATCTTTATCCCTCTTCGCTCAATTCCATGTCGCTTTCTTCACCTCCACTCAATGGCTTCTTCGCCAATTTTTACAGCATGTTTCAAGGATCATTTGGGATCTCTAAACACACAGTCACTAGCCTTTACAATGAATCCTGTGAGGCGCTTTGAGATGTCGAGTGACCTAATAAGGCGTTACATCAAAAAATGCATTATCTTTAGTCAAACATGCAGCGTGAACAGGCGCCAAGACAATGTGAACCGCATTGTCACCCCCACTATTGAAACCAGTTAAAAGGAGATGATTTTCACATATATTCTCACTTCCAGCAGCAGTCGCTGGGTAGCCACCAGGATCCCTGGCTGATTTTCCCCTCCCTCACCTGCCGTGGGAGGGCTGAAACAACCTGTCACCAACAACCTTAGGTCGGGCGAGGATCAGCTGACTCGGTTGCAAAATAGGCGTTCTTCCTGATCAGCAGGAATTTGAACTTTGCTGAGGCATGTGTGGAATTGTGGGAGGGGGAGGTGATGATGGGGGGGAGGAGAAGAGGGAAGAAAGAATTACACTCTGAAATCCTGATGTGTGTGGCATTATTGCAATTACTTGGTTTGAGCCACTTTGGACCGATCTCAATAATATTTAGATCCAAGAGAAGGCAATCTCTAAGCACCACCTGGTATTATAGAACGCACGGGTTCCTCAACCATGCCACCACTATTGTTAACAACTTGTGGTAATGTTCCCATTGCCACTCACTTTCTATTTTGGACTGTTATTGAATGGCAGAAGGGAGATACAACTGTGGCTCAGGGTAGCAGTGCTCCAAAGCTCCTGGGACAATTTGCCGTTGGGTGCTACTGTGGATGTTGATGAGGTTAAATGTGTTCACGTCTCAACTCCAGTAACCCTCAAAGACTCAGTCCGCGAAGCCACCATCAACGCGGGGTCTTTTAGCACTCATGTGGGAAATGATGTTAAGCCATTGCATGACGGAGCCTGAGTTTTGTTTGTAAAAGTTTTTTTTTTTAAAAAGGACAAGGCGCTTGTCAATGTTACTGAACTATATTTACAGAGGCATAAAGTGACCAGGGGATTGCGAAATTCTGCGCGCTATTGCTTGGTGCAAGAGGGGAAACATTTATACTCTGGGGAGGTATGTTGTACACCAGGCAATCTGGAAGTACTGCATAATCATCCGAATAATTGCAAAGAAAGGTCTAGACTAGATGGTACAGGAGTCAGACAAGATGCAGCAATGCATTTCTCAATTGAAAAAAATCTAACACCTATTGGTGAGGGAAAGGAGGACGAACCCGGATTCTCCTGTACTGACTTCACTCCCTCTCCTCCCACTCCACCCCACAGTCCCTCCGCCTCGCCCCCTCCCTTGGCTCCTTCAAGACCCGACTCCTTTTCGACCGTTCCTTTGGTCACCCTCCTACCCCTACCCTCCTACCCATACAATGATATGTTCCCCTCTCTGCTTCTCCAGATACATTTGTTTTTCCATCGTGACTGTTTCCAGGCAGACATTTTTGTAACTTTTTAAAGTGACGTAAAGACACGTAATAAAAAATAAAGGTTTTATCTTCGACACTGTACAAATAGATTAAAGCTGATTCCCTTTCGTTTAACTGCGTAGAACTTCTAAAATGGGATACCCCAGTCAAAGGCTGAAGCATTGCCATGTTCTGCTGTAGAAGAGCCCGGGAACTCAAGATGTTAACCCAGTATATTAAAAAAAACTGGACATTAAAACTAAAAAAAAATGAAAACAGTCAGAAAAAGAACTTTGTGCTTTTTCTCCTTCCATCTTCTTGAGAACTGGTGAAAACACTAAAACTTTCTTCCCGTTAAGAGAGAAAAAAAATTCTAGCGTGTGTTTTTCCAGCATAAAATCACATTCAGGGAGGTACGTGGGCAAAACCTATTTGTTGAGGTCAAGGCTTAAGTGGAAATTAAAATGATACTCTTAATATTTCTCTGAAACCTCTTTTCATCCAACTCTCTCTCTCTCTCTCTCTCACACACACACACACACACACACACACACACACAACATGGTTCAGAATACACAAGTGCACTCCTCAAGGAGTAATGTGTATAAACGGTGACTTGAGTTACTTCCTTCACCCTCAACATCCCAAAACCCTCCATGGCCTGCTTCCCTACAATGTTGGCTTAGGGCTGCTGTTGGTACTGGCTCTCTGTGGCTGTGTAGAAATCCTCCAACACGCTCTGCAGGTATTCAAACGTGGGACGGTCCTCTGGCTTGTTCTTCCAGCACTTTGTCATGACGTCGTACAGCTCGGTGGGGCACATCGTGGGACATGGCATGCGGTAGCCGTGCTCCAGGGAGCGGATCACGTCCGGGTTGGACATTCCTTCGAAGGAAAACAGACAACACGGCGTCTCGTTTTTGTTCCAATCCTTTCATGAGCTTCGATATCGGCAACAACAACTCACATTCTGTGCGCAATTGGCTGCCACGTTTCGCCCACAAAATACATAGTCGCTACACTTTACAGTGTATCCTGTGAAGCGCTTTGAGACGTCTGGAAGACGTGACAAGGCACTATATCAAACGCAAGGATTATTATTATTATTATTATACATACACAGCGTGTTTCACACGGGGTTGCATCTCAGAGCGCTTAACATTGCTGGAGCTTGACGCTGAGCTAAGGAGAGAGGGGAGGTGAATGTAGTCAAGGGAGGTGGTGGGGGGAAAGAGGAAGGCCCTCAGGTGCAACCTGAAGATGGGCAAGTAGAGGACAGGGATTGAAGTACAGAGTTCCAGGGTTTTGGGGCGTATTGGCTGAAAGCAAAGCTGCTGATGACGGAGCGGGGGGGATGAGGGACGGGCAGAAGGCAATAGGGTGGCGGGCGGTACTGCACCTACCTGGGTAGGGAGTTCGACCATAAGTGATGGTTTCCATGAGCAGGATTCCGAAGGACCAGACGTCGGATTTGATCGTGAAAGAGCCGAAGTTGATGGCTTCTGGAGCTGTCCATTTAATAGGGAATTTGGCTCCTGGAGGCAAAACACAACCAAAGTTTGTACACATTCACGTGGAATAAAGAACGTTTCATTCTTACAGCACCTTCTGGGGTTGAAACATCGCAAAGCTCTTCACAAGCAACAATAACAAAATTACATTTATATAGCACCTTTCACGTCAGAAGAATATCCAAGACGTTATGGGTTTGCACCCGAGCTGGGGGTTGGAATCAAGGAGGTGAAGTGATGCAATTGGGTCTATAGGCAAATGAGGCAGCTAATTGTCTCCCCAAAACAGTAGCGTGGTGAACGATCAATTTAGAGTGAGGTTGGATGCCTAGGACACTAGGAAAAACTCTAATTTCGACATGGGATCTTTAATGTCCGTTATGTACAAGAAACAAATACGCACACATACACACACACAAATACACGTGATGCTGTTTGGAAACCAGCCAAACAGCACCTTTCAGCAAGGCCAAGGCTGTGATCAGTTCTGGCAATTGACAATTCTGGCAATGGGCTGTTGGACTCTATCCAGGAACAGTTGCAATGGTTAGTTCTGATACATAATTATACAAATTTACAAGTCCTGAACAAACTAGCACTGAATAGCGGAGGGATATTTTGCTCTTTCAGGACTGAAATTACATTTTAGCATTTTTTTAATATAAACAAAAGACATTTAGAATTGATCATCACGTCCTGAGCACCGCCTGAAGTGTCCGAGTGAATAGAAGGCTGTACGAGCTTAAAACCTCCTGCAGAAGTTTTCAGGCTAGGAGTTTAATGGTCTACAATTGGTTTTACTTTACAATGATTTTGCCAACTTTCTGCATAATCTCTGTGGACTGGTGAAAGAGTCAGAATAAGATTGATAACCGTGGAGCAAAATCAGCTGTCCCAGGAGCATGGACTCCCACTGGCCATATCCTTTAGTAACTGAGGCTATTTGTCAGAGTCAAACTGCACGACAAGGCTGGCATCGCGCCCGTGGAATAAAAGTTCCCAGTAAAAAGTGCCTGGGCTTCTTTTGTTGCATGAAACTCCCGCTAACACAAGACCGTCCATGAGAACGGAAACTGTACAAAACGGCAGTTTCTACAAACCGCTTTGAGTTTTAATTTCCATTTTTATTTTTATCGGCATAGTTTGGGGATTAAAAAAACTTGGGGGGGGGGTGGGGGGAGGAGGGACGATATAACAGAGTGGAATTCTCCGCTCCAGGGAGAGAAGTGTACAATCCATTCCATTCCAGACCATGTGGAAATTTCTATTATAAGTATCTGGTTTGGGTACTCTCAAGCATGGCAATGGGTTTCGGTGTGCGTCAGATAATTGTCTGACCAACCAGCAATTCCCCATTTCCCCACGCACACACACACACAACCACTCACACACAGACAGTGGCATGAATCCAGGTTGGAGCCGATTCACAGAAAATCAGTCAGATTCAGACATCATTTTCCGAAATAAAAAGACGGACTAATTCCTTCCGCACGTGAATCATTCTCTTGGGACCCCCTCCCCTTTGTATTCACTCAGATTCGCATACCTTCTCTGGCTGTGTATTCATTGTCTTCAATTATTCTCGCTAAACCAAAATCAGCAATCTTGCAAACCAAGGTCTGAGACACCAAGATGTTGGCAGCTCTCAAGTCTCTGTGTATATAATTCCTTGATTCAATGAAAGCCATTCCTTCTGCAATCTGACGAAGAACAAAAGTAAATAACAAAATTAGCCACACAATCGCTCACGGAAACGTTACATATTTTTTTCTCCTCGTCAGAAGGAGGTTGACGCATCTTTGGATGGGTTGTTAAACTGAGGCCCCATCTACCTGTGTGTAAACCAGTTGCATTCACTGACTAAATACAATCACTAAACTTTACTGTAAAGTTGGGTGTTCCCTGACTGCTCAGGAGTGTTAGTTCAAAGAATATACAACAGATGGCGTTGTTGCTTCAGTCTCACCCACGCCAAGTGTTCCCCGTGCTTTCAAATGTTATAATTTAAGGTGGTTCCCACATCCACAGCCACCTATTTGTATCCACATACGCACATCCATCAATTTAATAGTAATCCTTGCCTTTGATACAGTTCCCGCAATGCTGATTTCAGCATTGCAGGAGCTGTATCAAAAAATAATAATAATAATTTGGTCACTCAATCTACGACTGTTTGTGGGACGCTGCTGTGCGCAATTGGCTGCCGTGTTTCGCCCACAAAATACGCAGTCACTCCACTTTACAGTGTATTCTGTGAAGTGCTTTGAGACGTCGCAAAGACGTGATAAGGCGGTATATCAAATGCAAGGATTATTATTATTATCTCAAGGGCTACACAAGCAATTGCTGTCAACTGCAGTGGCTTTGTATAGGATGGGTTGACACTTCAATATAGAGCTGGGTGGAGTGCTATGTTAACGGAGATGCCGTCCTTCAGATGAGATATTAAAATGGAAGAAAGAAAAGAGAATATTTTGGCTGGAAGGAATAATAATAATAATAATAGGGGGGAAGAGGGGAGTGGGAGAGGTAGAGGGGAGAAGGTAAAGAGGAGAATCTTAGAAATATTAGACATTAGAAAATACCCAACACTAGATGGTAACCATACAGGAAAAACCGTCAGTCAGTCAAGTCAGTCAGTCAGTGTTGGCAGATTCCACTACAGATAAATATACATAGTTTGCAGCATAATTTTGTCTATTTCAGCAATTGAACAAGATATAAATAAGCGGAGTATACCTCCTTCCCTTTTTTTTTTGAAGGTTCTGTTTAAAAATAGCACGTCGTCAAACAGATTAAAAAGAAGGACTTTCGGACTGACACTCAAAGTTAGGGAACTGACTTCAGCGAAATGAGTGGGCAGACACCAGCGTTAACCCCAGGAACAGACCCGCAACCGAGAGGCAGCAGAATGTCCCCATTAACAATGAAAGGGATCCATTCCTTGGGGAAAAGAGGAACCGGCGCACAGGAGTCATAAAAATTAAGATATTCTAAATTGCCGTCATAACCATAAAGAACCACGTGGAAGAGGAAGCTGTGTTTTTTAAGTACAGTTCAGCTTCCAGTAACTGAAAGAAATCTAGCCCCATCGATGCACTGGGTTCATAAACAATATCTATTAATAATCCTCGGGTTTGACTAGCTTTCCGCATCGAAGGAACTTGTAGCTTGACTGTGTGTTTTGTAGACGAATGCAGCAGCTGGTTTGCTAGTTACTAAAACAGAATCTTATTTTTGTGAAGTCGTATAGAGCAGTGGTTAGTGCAAGCGAGAGGACCTGAATTTGCTTCCGGACAGGGCAAAAACGTTAGTCAAGTTTTGTTACTTCACATGCCTCTGTTTACCTAGCGGGTAAGTAGGAACCCGGTTGTTAGTTGATTGTCGGATCATTTTCCAGGAGGAACAATCCCTCAAAAAAATGTGCTCAATCGACAACTGTTTATGGGACACTGCGGTGCGCAATTGGCTTACGCATTTTCACGCACAAAATACACAACCCATCCACTTCACAATATATTTTGTGAAACGCTTTCAGACACCACAACACCATAATAAGGCACTACATCAAACGCAAGGATGATTATTATTATTAGATAGCCTTTTATTTTTAATTAATCCCGTTTTCTGGCTCTTGCACTCCCCCCACCCCACCACCCACGTCTAGAGTATTGTGTGCAGTTTTGGTATCCTTATTTAAGAAAGGATGTACTTGCCTTGGAGGGGGTACAACGTAGATTCACTAGGTTGGTACCAGGGATGAAGGGGATGAGTTATGAGGATAGGTTGAGCAATTTAGGCCTATATTCTCTAGAATATAGAAGAATGAGAGGTGATCTTATAGAAACCTATAAGATTATTAAGGGGCACGACAGAATAGATAGTGGGAGACTTTTTCCCTGGTTGGAGAAACTATAACCAGGGGTCACAGTCTTAAAATTAGGGGTAAGCCCTTTCGCACTGAGTTGAGGAAAAACTTCTTCACTCAGAGGGCAGTGCATTTATGGAATTCTCTACCCCAAAGGGCTGGAGATGCTCAGTCCTTGAACATGTTCAAGACTGAGATTGATAGATTTCTTGTGGATAAAGGGATTAAGGGATATGGAGATGGCGGGTAGGTGGAGTTAGAATAGATCAGCCATGATCTTATTGAATGGCGGGGCAGGCTAGAGGGGCCGAATGGCCTACTCCTGCTCCTAATTCTTATGTTCTTATGTCTCTCTGTCCAAATCTCCTTCCTAAAGGAAGGAAGCCGTAGATCAGGTCTGAATGGTTCAAACGCTCCGGGTTCATACATATAGAATGTCAAAATATGCAACTGGGTTTTCAGGCTCGTCACATGACAGACAGACTCAGATTATAATCACAAGAGCAATCAGACCCCACAGCCAAACCCTCAACGCCCAGCTGTGCCCACTCCAGTAACATCAAACCACCCGGGGGTCCTGATTGGAATTTAAGCATCAGGCTTAGACACGGCGAAACCACGATGGAAGCAAACCAAACAGTCTAAAGAAAAGAAAGGCGTTTGTTTTTTTAAATCGCCTTGAAGAGCCTTAGGACAGGCGCCCTACTGACGTGATAAGACTACATAAAAATAGATTTGCATTATATGATTTGTATTGTAAATCCAGTGTTGCTAGGATATTAAGTGTGTGTTTGCACACTGCTGCCACGCAAGCAATTTGTCTAAGATAAAAACGAAAGTGAAGAGACCAGTTTTACTGCACTATTTCACAACACTCAACTTTCAGTCTGAAGACAACCTCGATTATTTACGTGTGGACAAGCTTTGTGGGGGTGGGGAAGGAGGAGCCGAGACGTGTTGTGTAAGGAAATTTGCCTATGGTTTCGCCCCACCCAGGCTAACTACCACACACATATTTCCTCTGCTCTCCCCCAAAGTGACCTTTAACACATCCATTTTAAGGTAAATCCTGAGAAGCGCTTTGAGGCATCCTCCCGATGTGAAAGGAGAGAATTAAACACAAGGACTATTGATTAATATTAATTTATTATTGACTTGGAGCACGCAAACTGAATGTGAATGGATGCATTCAGTAGCGGGGTGGGGGGGAGGGGAGGGGAAGGAGCGTTAATCTGGATTGAAATGTTACACTTTCTTTAGGAAACCTCAACAGAAAACTAAAAATAAGTTTCTTTTGCTATTTTATTCCACTGGGGCCTGCAAAACCTTGGCTATTTTCACTGCAAGTGTTTGTCAGAGTTTGCAGACAGCTACATCAAAGCCCCAAAGAGATTAGAAGTCACACCACACCTTCTGCGCCTGTTGTTCTTTTATTAACCAGAATTTGTTCCACACAGCGCTGTTTGGGGGGTTAATGGACGTCTTAAGCGATGGCTCGGCAACAGGAGCAGTGAACCCAAACCGGTGGTGGGGGGGAAGTTTAAAGGCAGTTGAAGGAGATGATAATAATAATTCTTGCACTTGATATAGCCTACGTCCTCGAAACGTCTCAAAGTGCTTCACAGGATATGAAGAATTGTCTGTATATTTTGTGGGTGAAACACGGCAGCCGATTGCGAACAGCAGTGTCCACAAACAGTCGTGGATTGAGTGACCAATTTATTTTTATTTTTTAAAGGAGTTATTACCCCCGGAAAAGTAATCCACCAATCGACTGACAATTGGGTTCCTACTTACTGCTTGGTAAACAGAGGTGTGTGTGGAGTAAGGAAACTTGCCCAACGTTTCGCCCGGCCCGGGAATCGAACCCAGGTCCTCTCACTCGTGAGGCGAGTGCTCTAACCACTGAGCTACAGGATTCCATGGTTCTTTAAGGACAGTGTAAAGCCAGGACGCTGGTGATCAATGCACCACAGTTGCTAGGAGGCTTAATAATTGTAGTTATGATGATCCATTGCGTGCACTACCCTTTGTCAGGTTCAGACCATAAGAACCGTAATGTTAATTTACATCGCACTGTTGTCTGGACAAGGCGTGGCTTGGCTATAGGGCAAATCGGGTCTCCCGGGTTTTACCTTAAAATGGATGGGGTGAAGGTCAGTTTGGGGGGGAAGGGAGGAAATCTGTTGTGTGATAGTTAGCACATCACATACTGCAAATCCCCCCACTCCCATGGGTCGAATGGCCTCATGCTGTGCTGTAAACCTTTACCATTGCACAACGAGTGAGAAACCACATCAGAGAGGTCAAACAAAACTGAAGGGTCCTGTACCTCAGTGGACTATTTCTTTGCCAGAAGGCGCAGAGCGAAAGCACATAGTTTAACTTTCCGTTAACAGCTGTTATCACAAGGGACAAGCTTCCTCTTCCTGTTGAATGGTAGGGCAACTTAGCACACAGCCACATCAAACCCACTTCCGTTTTGCACTAGTAGGTAAGAGTTAAAGGAACATGAAATGTGGTAGACAGTCAGGAATGAGAGATAAGGAAATGCTTTGGTGACTTCACTCTGTTATCACTATGGTCTGAGTGCTAACCAACGTTTCCCCTTATAGATGTATCCAGCACCTTGGGACATCTTTCCGATGTGAAAGGCGTTATACAAATGTAGTTTTGTATTGTATTGTCTCCCTCCCCTGCCCTCATTACTCAGTGAACGAGCCAGCAAGTTGTCGGGCACACAAACAGCAAAGACCTCGACACTCACCTGGGCTGAAAAGTCAATGAGTTTGGGTAACTGCAGTTTGTTCCCTTCGTCTGTCTTCAGAAAATCTAGTAAACTTCCTGCAGATGACATAGAGAGAGAGATGTTTAATCACCTTGGCGGCATTAAGTGCGGAGGCAAATTGTTTACTTGTGTAACTTGCGTTGCCACTTTCTTGAATTCATGGCAGATGAGACATGAATGCGCATTGTTTCTGTATGTTATTCTCAGGAAAATAGGCGAGACGGAAAAAAATCAAGAAGGTCCATCCGGTTTGCCCTCCACCATCCTGGCAATCGCGTACACAAGTCATGTCCTGAACTACTCATATGCTGTATCCATTCTTTAGTGGTATGGGATACAGTACATGAGTGCCCCATCATGGTTTGCTCCCAACACAGCTCCCATAGCTCCAATTTTATTGCGCACTTCACGTTTGACATAGTTCCTAGATCCCTACACAATGACGCGAGTTCTTACGCTGAGCTGGACGAGTGAGTAACCAAATCTGACTTTACCTTTGAACTTCAAAATCAACTTGGGACAAGGCGAAAGCACAAACGAGTTCTGTAAAGCTACAAATTTGTCATTTTCCGATACAGTAAATTAGAATTTTTTTATTATATCTGCTGTAAACTGGAAAACTGTAACCAATGAAGATTTTTAAAAAATTCCTTCTGGACTATGTCAGGGCAAAATGTTGGGCAAGTTTCTTTACTCCACACGCCTCTGTTTACCTAGCAGTAAATAGGAAACCGTTTGTTATGCGATTGGTGGATCGCTTTCCAAGGGGTAACAATCCCTTCAAATAAAACACTAATAAGAATTTGGTCACTCAATCCACAATTGTTTGTGGGACAATGCTGTGTGCAATTGTCTGCCATGTTCCGCCCACAAAATATGCAGTCAATTCACTTTACAGTATATTCTGTGAAGCGCTTTGAGACGTCTCGAAGGCGTAAAAAGGCCCTATGTAAAATGCAAGGATTATTATTATTACTATTATACACCTACTTCAAAAGGGGAGGGGGTTGGGGGGTGGATAGAGAGAAGCATTTCCAATGGCCTTTAAAAAGAAAGTGTAAAGTCTACAGCCCTTTTGAAAAGCTCGCTCGATGAGCAGGTCACCCGCCAAGATTTTGATACGACTTTGGAATAGAATACATTGTGCCCAAAGCATGTTTGTTCTATACTGGGTGTGAATACAACATTATGTTTAATCTATTCAACTTCTGGTTTCGTACCAGAAGCTCTGCCTTATTTGAAGGAAGCTTGTTGGCAGGGCACGTGACCTTGTCAAGCACAGAGTGGGTATGGCTTGCGAGAGTTAACCCCTTGTGCACTGCACTCGCCAAGCTCAAGAGTTATTATCGACAGATTCGATGCCTTGCGATCCTTCTCACACCAATTATTCCCAGGCGGTTACCAGTGGCGACTGTACAGAGCGCTCTAAAAACCAAAATGCAACAAAGAAATTCACGTCTAAGGTGACCGAATGAGAATTAAGCTCTTTACTGACCACAGGAACTCAAATCCTCCCCCACATTTTATAATTAAGGCACTTACAGTGCAAGCGACAAAATGCTTGTACACGTGACATTACAGTACAGCAAGCCACATCTATAGAATCGCTGAAGGTTTACAGAATTAAGTTGCTGTTTGGTTATTGTGTCTGTGCTGGTACAGAACTAAGTATTTGCCTAGAGCTCCGAGGAGCTACCCTGTGTTAAGGGCATTATATAAATGCAAATTGTTTTTGTCGTGTGCATATGTGTATATGTGTACATATGTATGTATATATATGTTTATAATATACAGTTCATATAGTATATAATATAATATACTGTATATATCTGGTTCGGGAGGACATCCCAGCGCTTTCGAACGTCCTCCTGACGTAAAATGCGCTATATAAATGTAATTTTGCATTGTACACACACACACACACAAAATGGCTAAAATCGCAAAGGTACTGTAGGCACACTATTTAACAAGCTGTGGCGTGTAAAATAATGTGCTTTGTGGTGTCACAATGGGTGAAAATACGCAGGGTACCATTCGCGTTTCATTATGACAAGGTGCCCACCATATTGAACCCAGGCGACTGGGTTATAGTGAGGTTGCCTCTACTGTAGAACAGAATCGTAGACTATGGCAATTGGCTGCCCGTTTCGCCCACAAGATATACAGTCGACTCACTTTACAGTATATTCTGTGAAGCACTTTGAGACGTCTCGAAGACGTGATAAGGCGCTGTATCAAATGCAAGGATTATTATAAGTTAGAAACAACAACAAATTATAGTTGTAAAGCGCCTTTCAATCCCAAAATTTGAGGAGGGAGGACTTCCCTGTGAACATCTGATGTTGGCATCATTAGCATTGGGAATGAGGGTGAATTTAAAGCACTGAATTCTCTGTTCCTGCCTGTGCTGAACCCTGAGAATTCAGAGAGCTCTTGTTGTGTGTGTGAGTTCAGTGAGTGCTGCGAGCGTGGGAGGGTGAGGTTAGTGTAACTGATATCATCAAGCATTCGTGTTTGTGGCCGTGTCTGCCTTGCTAACAGGTCATGAAACACACAGATGTACTGACTATAACCGCACCGTTTCAGCCCCTTCTCCCCCCAATTCTCCCCACCACCTCTCTACCCCCCTCCCCCCACATTGGTCATGGGTTCCAATTGAGTCGTTCAATATTTGGGGTTTTTAGAGCAGTGTGGCTCCCTGTTTTTTCCAGGACAAATGTTATGCAACAGCTGAAGCTCAAGACCACTGCTCCATCCCCCGCACCTGGCCTTGCAGAGCAGGACGGAGCACAAGCGCTGAAACCAACCCACAAGACGCACAAGCCTTACAGGACAAAATATAGAAAAGGTGGTCATTCTGTGATAGTTCCTCTTTCTCTTTCTCCGTCTCTGCCCCCCCTACTAGTTACTGGAACTGCCTGACTCCCTTCACGGTCTTAATCTTTCACAGCTTTAAGAGCTCTGAGATGCTACCCTGCATGAAGGGCACTATGTAAATGCAAGTTGTTGTTGTTGTCGTCGATCCTTACTGCCCTGGCTAATTTCATTCTCGCTGCCGGCTCCTTGAAAGAGCTAACTGGCTAGTCCCACTCTCCCGCTCTTTCCCCACAGCACCGTAAATCTTTCCTTTTCAAGTGTATATCCAATTCTCTTTTGAAAGTTGAAAATTATTATTGAATCTGCTTCCACCACCCTTTCAGGCCGTGCATTCCAGATCATAACAACTTGCTGTGTAAAAACATTTCTCCTGGTCTCCCCTCTGGTTCTTTTGCCACTTATCTTAACCTGTGCCTTCCTGTTACCGCCCCACCTTCTGGTGGAAACGGTTTCTCTTATCATTAGAGGATTTAATGAATGAGGGCCCTTTATCTTATCTCTTGGGGAACAACTACCTTCTTGCCACTTTTCTGTTGTAACATCAAGTTGTTTGCTAAATGAGCTCAGTATCCTGACCACAACTCCAAACCATCCTTTCTCGTGACCTATTCCAGTTGTTGACTACTCTCTGTGTAAAGTGATGCATCTATACTCTATAGTCTATACTCTGGGATCCCAGTGTTTTAACCGAGAAACCCCAAATAAAATCAGTCACTCACACCTTTGGCTGTTTGTGGCGTGTTACTGTGAATGAAATATAGCTAAAATATACACACAGTCACATAGCTTTACAGTCTATCCCATAAAGCGCTTTGAGATGTCTCAACAACACAATAAGGCGTTGTATCAAATGTAAGAATCATTATTGTTACATCTCAAGTTGCCAATGACAACGTTACAGGTTTCAACCACCCAAAAAAGAGAAGCAAATTTATATTTAAGGAACCCTCCCAGCACTCAGGATCTTTGCTTGATTTCCTTCCTTTACAAGTCAAGCTATTTAAAGCACTCACGCACTCACTCCTCTACAGATGAACCCTACAGATGATTTAATGTTACTGAGTTACCATAACCTCAGCAGAGAGAGAGAGACTCAGTTCCTATCGTTAACTCAGTCATCCATTCATTGTATGAATTTCACAGAATCGTAGTATTTTACAGCACAGAAAGAGGCCATTTTGGGGCCATTTTGAAATTTATCACATTGCCAAAATAAATTTGCATACACTTCTCTTTTTGGGGGATTGAAATCTGTCACATTGCCGGGTTAAAATTTTGATCTACTAAACACTTCTGCTGGTTAAAAAAAAATTGGATTTGATACGGTATCTTCTATACCAGGATGACATCTGTCATTTGCATAACTGACTATCTCTAATTACATCAAGTAATTGGTGCAATACAATTACCATTGGGTACCCTAATTCAGGGAGGGGCTCAATGTCCATAAAAGAACGAGCACCATGTGCTCAAGGTCTCTTTTTTTCTACCTGATAATAACAAAAGACAAGTGCTCTGACTTTTGATGAGTAGTAGTCAGAGGTTCTTCGTGCACTTTACATTACTTTCATTAATAGTGGTTGCTGGTGTGTTTAGTTTAAGCGTGATTAATGTTTGTTATCTCATAGTTGCGTTTATTTGTTTATATTTATCGTGTTGTTTAAGATTTAATGCCAAGGGTTGTGGATTTCATCGACCCTACAATAAAATTCCGTTTGAGTTTACTTAACCGTGCTTTCTCAAGCTTTCGGTATAAATCAAAAGAGGGAATATACAAACAGGTTCCGACTAGGTCACAGAGGTAATAAACCTCTGATTGACTGAAGCTTCCCAATTTGCTTTCATTTAAATAGAAAATGGTAGTACCTGTTAATTTGGAAGAACTCATTAGTCAAATTACACCTAGTTACAGGGTTTTGCATTCATTAGTGAGGATTGAACACAGAGGCCACCCAGTACACTCTGCGAGAGGGAAGCGAGCCATATCGTGGGCGTGCATATAGGGGTGAAAGAACCGGCTAACACATCAAAGAGCTTCGCAGGATTTACTGTAAAGTATAGCAACTGTGTATTTTGAAATGAAAACTGAAATGATTTGTCATGCAGACAAAGACCAGGTGGAATTTCAGAGCCCCATTATGTGAACACAGTGAACTAAAAGGAGTCCCACAGCTTGGTGGTTAACTCACTTGCCTTGGAAGGGAGAGAACTTGGGTTCGATTCCTGGGCAGGGCGAAACATTAGGCAAGCTTCCTTACTCCACATGCGTCTGTTTACCCAGCGGTAAGTAGGCACCCGGTTGTTAATCAATGGGCGGATCACTTTCTGGAGATAATAATCTCTCCAAAAAAGAGTCACTCAATCCACGACTGTTTATGGGACACTGCTGAGTGCAATTGGCTGCCGCGTTTCACCCACAAAATACAGTGAATCCAATTTACAGTATATTCTGTGAAGCGCTTTGAGATGTCCCAACGATGTGATAAGGCGCTATATCAAATGCAAGGCTTATTATTTGTTATTAAAAGCTCCGATCAGCCGCCATCTTACCTTTGGCCATGAATTCTGTGATTATGTATATGGGTTCCTCCTTCGTAACCACGGCATTCAGCCGAACCAGCTTATCATGTTGAAGTGTCTTCATGATGTTAGCTTCGTCGAGGAAAGCTTCCACAGACATGGTCCCTGGCTTCATGGTTTTCACAGCTACTTTGGTGTGCTTGTTGTAGGTGGCTTCAGAGAGAGAGAAAAATAAAGGAACAACATTACTTTATCCCAGGTAGTGGCGAGATAGCATCAGTGGCCAGGTTGAGGGTGTGGTTGTTTGGTTTCATAAAGTGATTTCCAATAGCACCCTGACAATGCGTTCCCCCCCACACCCACTCCCGCTGCTGCACTGGAACATTACTCTTCATTATGAGCACAAGTCAACCCCCAACCCATCCCCACTACCGCATTACACTGTCACATTCTGGTCTTCCTCATTCCTTGCAGGAGGTGTGAAGCCTCACCCACCACATTAACAGTGAGGGACAGACAATCAGCTGATGCGTCAGGGGAAGTTGTAAGCAAAGAGTTACCATTCTAGTGTATTCACACCACTAGGGCCACATCTCCTACACTTCCACCTCCCCACCTGTCCTGTGTTTGACTTTAACACTGACAAAGGGAAGAAATTCCACTCAGGTCTAGATCTCCCTCTACTTAAAGCGTCCGGAATTCAACAAATTCTTAAACCCAGCTTTCATTTTGTAAGGTTTCTTTTAAGAACAATTTCAAATTTAAGGCTGAATTCAATCATTTGCCATGTTCTGGATGCTCCGAAACGCAGTAAATCATCTTGAAGATGTTTCCACTTTAAGACGAGATTTGGTTTGTTTGTTCAGAATTAGGATGAAACTCACCCATCCACACTTCCCCAAACTGCCCAGCTCCCAGCTTCTTGTCCAATTTGAGGGATTCCCGCGGGATCTCCCAGGCATCCTTCTCCCAGGGTTTTTGAGGCTTTTGGCTGATGCAGGAAGTTGTGAGCTTCTGACACAATCCGTCTCCTTGTTCTGGGCAGGGAAACAGAGAGTAATGAATGATTGAGGCAGGTTGTCAGGAAGGTGTTAAAATGATAAAAGGAATCCATATGGTAGTTACCGAGAAACTACTTCCTCTAGTGGGGGAATCCAGAACGGGGGGGGGGGGGGCGGGGGCATCATCTTAAAATTAGAGCACTTTTTAAAGAAAAGGGTAGTGGAAATCTGAAACTCTCTCCCCAAAAAGGCTGTGGATGTTGGATCCATTCACATTTTGAAGACTGAGATGGATAGATTTTTGTTAGGTCAGGGTTTCCAGGGATATGGAGCAAAGGCGGGTAATTGGAGTTGAGGTACAGATCAGCCACGATCTTATAGAATGGAGGAACAGGCTTAAGGGGCTGAATGGGGCTACTCCTGTTCCTATAAAGGTGGCTGAGGCCAGGAGACTGGGACGCATTTAAAAAAACAGCTTGATCCTGTGATGGAAGGGCAGTAGAGTGGGTGTTCTAAAAGGATGTGATCAGATGGGCCGAAAGGGTCTTTGTCAGCCGAACCGATCTTGTGATCAATGGAAGCAACTTTGACCCGTCCGTGGCCAGAGAAAAAAAATGGAAGGGGAAAAGTGCGATGTTTCTTAACAGATTCAAAATGATATTTATCACATCGTGTCACATCCAGACTTGGTCTTCAGAGCTCGGTTACGCAACCATACTCACTCTTGTAATGGTTGACTAACTCCTCTAGGCTGGTGAAGGTGATTCGGGGAGAGATGTAAAAGCCACCATTATCCAGGGTCCGTATCTTGTAATGTTTCACTGTGTCGCCCATTGACGGGTCGTGATCTCGAACAGAAAGCGAGTAGCTGCCTAATGAGGAACAGAACAGAAACAAGGCGGCTTGGTCACTCACATCTTGCAGTCATTGCTCAGCTTCTCCTCAAACATCCGTGCCTTCAGTCACCCTCCTACCCCTACCCTCCCCGCCCTCCAACCCTGCTGATCCCAACCACCAGCTCGGGTGCGGATCCCTGACTGTCCAGCGCCTTGGGACGTCCTCCTGACGTAAAAGGGCCTATACAAATGTAATTAGTTGTTGTTTTTGTTGTCCCTAGGTAAGGCAATGTGTCCCCTGGAGCCAAATTTGCCCTGTTCTCAGTTCAGCAACAAACTGAGCAAGAACAGCACAGTTCTAAAACAAATACACTCATCATCAGAGAAACGCAGTCATTAATCCAACAACTTCTCCAGTTCAATCTTTAATATATAGGCATGTCCCTGAATTTAGTTTACAAGATGTGGTCACCTAAGATCTCTGAGCTGAGGGAATCCTTCCCATGCCTATTTGAAAGAAGTGCAGAGCTTTCCACTCCTGGTTTATCCCGTTTGTGTATATTTTTATACAGACACCACGCCGCTAGACGCTATCCTGCGTGATCGGTCTATCTTTTGTGCTGGTTTCGCCCACAAAATATACAGTGAATCCTCTTTATAGTATGTTATGCAAAGCGCTTCGAGATGTTCAATGATGTTGTAAGGCGTTGCATCTAATGCAAGGATTATTATTATCACTACTACATAAATGCAAGTTGGTGTTGTTGCTGCTGCTGCAAAATGCAGATTAGCATGCTGTAATCAATTCATCCCCGAATTATTTTTCTGCAAATCAAATTAATGAACAACACTTCATTGTTGGTACAAAAAAAATACCCATTGACCAAAAAAAAACACCTTTTTTTGTCCCACTTCACTTGATACTTGACAAGTGGCAGCAAATTAGCCAGCGATTGTCTGGTTCACCAAAGCTGGTGGGATGATTTTATACAGAAAATCTCTTTATAAGGCCAAGCCAATATGGTGGCATTCAACCCAGGTCGAGCTCTTTAAAGCTTTTAAAAGCAAACGGAGTTCATGTTGTGCCTTCACATCTCCCTTGCTGTCTACTGCCACCTCACTTCCTTCCTACGATTAACAGGCCAAGTGGTTTTGAACAAAACGTATAATTTCTGCATCTATGGTGGAGTGGCTGGATGGCCACAAGCTGTGCTTCTGTATGGTAAGGACTAGGTAACCTTGCTTCATTTTAAATCCACAATAAAAAGTATTTTTTTGTAAATCTATCACATTTTGTCTCATTCCCTAACCTCCCCCCAACCTCCCACCCACCCACACACACTCTTCCCCATACTTTAAACTTGTATCCTAAACCGATTTCCAAATAATCAGGTGATGGAAGCAGAGATTCAGTAATAACTTTCAAAAGGGAATTGGATATTTACTTGAAAAGAAAAATATTGCAAGGCTATGGGGAAAGAGAGAGACTGCTTGGATAGTTCATTTAAAGAGCTGGTACAGGCACAAAATGGGCCAAATGGCCTCCTTCTGTGCTGTAAGATTCTATGAATCTATACAATATTACATTTGTATAGCGCCTTTCACGTTGGGAGGACGTCCCAAGGTGCTGGACAGTCAGGGATTCAGACCCGAGCTGAGGGGGATTGGGATCAGTGAGGGTGGAAGGCCTGGTGGGTAGCCAAAGATGCAGTTGAAGAGGAGGGTCTTGAGACATGCCCTAAAGGAGGAAGGGAGGGTGTGAGGCAAAGGGAATGAGGGATGGAGTTCCAAAGGATCAGAGCAAATAGGCTGAATGCCCGACCGCATGATAAAGAATAAAATGGTCTTACAGGCTAAGATTAGGTAGAATTTTGGTTTGGGTCTGAACCTTATTCCGATCAATTGGCCCTCTTGACCACAATACTTACACGACCCCGTATTAAAATTGATTTGATGTAAACGCCACCTCAAAAAATCAATAGGCAACCTCAATCGATATTTACAAAAGTCAAACAGAGAACACTACCAATTAACAATGTGAGGGAGGTTTTAAGGAATATTGCAAACGCAACCCCCATACTCTGGTTTCTTAATTTTGCTGCATTTCAGCTGTGAAGCTGTAGCTTACACCTTTTTGGGTCAGCCGGGTGTCTGACACTCGCTGAAACCCATCACCGTGCGTAAGAACATCCAAACCAAACAAGAATTCCATGCATCCCACCTACATATGGAAATCCCAGAGATAGATTGTCAGAATGGAATGTGCGCTCTCTCACCTTTGGTTGTTTCACTGTCTCGGATCATGTACGATCCTTGTTTATTTCCTGATGCTAGAAGATGCCTCTCTGCATCTTTCCTGCTGACTCCCTTGAAGAACCAGCTAGGGAGGGAAGGGCGGAATTTTAGCCACATGATCACCAAATGTAATGAAGGCAATGTGAACCCGCGCCATTGTATTTAAACACATAGGAACAGGAGAGGGCCATTCAACCCCTCAAGCCTGTTTCACCATTCTAAGATCATGGCTGAGCTGTAACTCAACTCCCACCCTTGCCCCATACCACCAAACACACCGCCACACCATTCCACGCTACGATTGGCAAAATAAGGTCCTTGTTTTTTGCACGAAAGGCAGTTTAAAAAGCTATCAGTCAAATGCAAGTATTATTATTCAAATTTAGGACCTCACAGAAGTGCGGAAATTTCCGTCTTAAAATTTGGAAAGCGGTGATGAAATAAGAGACCGATTTTTCCTCAGTTCTACACGATCTTTAAATTAAGGCCAAAAAAAAACAAACCCCAAAACAATGATCTTCTTCAGGCTAAGACCAGGTGGAAGTCGGGGCTTCTGGCCCCTGAAAGTATTAAGCATGGAATGGAAGCGCGTTGACATCTTGCGGTGTTAAAAAGTGCAGATACTCACTCCTGAGTTTCCAATGTATTATCTTTGGCAACATAGTTACTTGGGATGAAACCTTCTTCGCCTGTGCCTAGATTCCTCGCATTCCACCATTCTCCTGACCTGCAGCACATTAAGAACAACTGCGTGACTTTCTGAGTTTCTTTATTCCCCAGCATCGACACAATAAAGCACTTTTTTTTAAAAAGAAAGCTAACACAATAGACAGTAAACCTCTGATAACACATCACACCAAGGCTCCAAGGGAAAGGGACTCAGTGATGAGTTATCAGGAGCGACGAGTTAAGCATAGGTATAAATACATAAATAAATACAGTGGGGATATTGACAGCATGGTGAGTTAAGTGGTAAGAATTCTTCTGTTGGGTTATTTTCACTGCATTACTCACACTAAATTATCCAGATAATGAATTACACAGCTGTCTCAAACATATTAATCTTTGAAATCATCAACGACGCAAAATATTTCCGGGCACTGATAATCAAACGTTTCTATCTGAGGTCTTGGGTTACTTCAGTTTCTACCCCCAAAACACCAACTTCTGAAATGGAAGCTGTTCGAAAATGGCAATGAAATGGTGGCTGAGGGTTTGGCCGGTCGACTGGATGTAGTAACTGGTAAGTTGCTGAGTTCCTTGTATTCCTCGACCATTCACATCATGTCCGTTTGTGGGAGGTTTTGCTGTGGCCCAACATGTCTCACTTATTTGCTCACAAACTCATAACCAATTGCACTCAACAACAACAACTTGCATTTATATAGCGCCCTTCACGCGGGACTAGCATCTCGGAGCGCTTAGGTCCAACTCGCAGTGTTTCAGAGCGTCCAGAATTTGACAAATACCCAAATGTGTCCTCAGTATTGAAGCCAGTTCTCTGTAAGTTCCATTTAAGAATGACAATATCAGAGAATCACAGAACCTTACAGTACAGAAAGAGGCCATTCGACCCATCGTGCCTGTGATGGCTCTTTAAAAGAGCTATCCAACTAATTCCACTCCCCCACTTTTACCCCACAGCCTTGCAATTTTTTTTTCGGATCTGCTTCCAGTAAACGGGCTTCCAAGTTCAGATATTCTGAAATGCTAAAGAAATATTGTAAAGGTGAACGGACAGCCAAAAAGTCTTTTTTCCCCCAAACAAAACAAAACAAATAAAACTTACTCTTGAATAATTTTCAACTTGTCTCCTTTCTTAAAACTCAGGTCTCCATCATGGATTCCTTCATAGTCATACAGGGCGATCACTGAGGCTTCCTCATTTCCTGTAAATAGAAGATAATTTGTGCCATTTCCTTCACACATTAAGAGAGCGAATATCACGCCAACAAAGAATAAGGTAATTTACTATTTCTCCCGGCTCAGGTGCCAAGCCAGAATTGTCAAGCGGCTTGGGACGTCCTCCCAAAGTGAAAGGCGCTATAAAAATATAAATTTGCAATGTGTTTTATTGATTGCCCGTAATTGGCAATCTGTTATCTTAATGCTAATAATAATAACCTTTGCATTTGACATAGCACCTAATTAAGTCGTTGAGATGTCTCAAAGCGCTTCACAGGATATACTGCAAAGTGAATTGATTGTGTGTAAATAATAAATAAATAACGAATAAATAACCTGGAGTGAAGCACATGCATAGGGATCCACCCATTACTCATCGTTAGGTCTGAAAGCCCCTAAACCCCAACCATTCTCAGGCTGGAAAGAACATTTTGTCTTAAGAATTTCAACAGAGGACAGAATTGTGAAAGATTCTTCAATTCGGTCTTGATTTGGAAGCTGATTTTGTGGAGTTTTTTTTTAACCAAAAAAGAAACCAGCTTCCAAATTAAGCGCTTTGAAACATCTCAAAGCCGTGATAAGGCGCTATATCAAATGCAAGGATTATTATTATTATACTATCAATGTGCGAGCCTTCCCTCAATCCGGGTGCCCTTAAATCTCAGCACAAAATTGTCTCGCTAGACGTTCAGGGCCTTGGATGTGGAATATCAACTTCCGAGCATCATCATGGAAACTATTTTGGCCTCTTCCTTATTTCACAGAGAGCTCCGCTTCCTGTACAGTTAATTTTATCACACCCTGTAGCAAGTGGTTAGTCAATCAGTAAGTTGCTTTCCTAATGAGCAAGAACCTTGTAAAACCTCTTCTAATAGAACGAGGTGAGCAATGCCAGTTCCTACTCACTCCTCACTCCCCCCGTACTGATAAACCAAACCACTTTATTACTGACCACCTATGGATGGTCAAGGCTAGGTCTCTAAACACTGACTGTCTGGCGCTGGGAGTATTTGTAATCCAGTTATCAATTTTGTGTCTAAAAATGAGTTCAAATGGCTTCACTGCTTTGGATTCTCAGAGGTTCAAAGCAATAAGCTCCGACTAAAACATTCAGCAAATTACAAAGTATTCCACTCTGCATTTGGCTCGAGTGTGAGTAAGTGTGTGAGAGAGAGAGAGAGAGAGAGTGTGAGAGAGAGTGAGAGTGTGTGGGCGAGTGTGATTTTGGAGTGCAAGAGTGAGTGTGTGTGTTGGGGGGGGGGGGGCGCGGTGGGGAAGCAGGGAGGAACAACAATAATCCAACAAAGTTGACATTTTTCATACCATCTTTGTGTGATTTCTTAAATACCAGAATAAGCATGTTATGGCTCAAACGATATAAAATTAATTGGACAAGTACATGCAGAGAAATGGCTTCAGAGGGGTTGGTGTCGTGTGCGGTAGAGTGGGGGAGCAGAGAGTTTGAGCTTTGCTCTGTGTTGTGAAAGGATGAGATCAGATAGGCTGAAGGGGCCTCAGTATTGATCAGGGTGAATTACCGCCATGTGGAAAGCATGAGACGTTAAATAGAGCATCAAAAGGTCTTTGACAGTCGACAGATCCGATTACAGGCGCAATCCATTCCCACACTTACCTTCCGAGGGCGATATTATGTGCAAGTTAAAACTATTCCGGTTCTGAAGAGGAGGGGATGGGGGAGAAAAAGAAAGAGATCAGCCTGGGTGAAAACACTCTACACAATCTTCAAATACATAGATCCACATCACTAATCACAATAGCGGTGGGGTATGTGTGTACCAAAATTGGGCCCCGTGCTGTGTTAATTATCATATCGTTGGTAAATGCCGTCAATGAGGCCAGTCAATATCTGAACATTAGCCATGGGTATGAACTCTCTCCTCCACACCCCAACTCAGTCATAACTGGACTACTCCTCCACCATCGCTACTCACCAGACACAGATTGATGCATCGGTTTTGTCGGGTTAAGCTGGTGTACCCCTGCTAACCACGCTCCGACTCTGATTCGCAGCCAACTAACTAACACAAGTTCAGTGAGCGAGCAGTGAAAGTACGGAGCAGGCTCTCTAGGGAGATGGTGGAAGCAGAAAGTGTCGATTCTTTTGAAAGCAAATTGGGTGGATACATTTTTGGAATTAATATCTCGGGATATGGTATACAATTTGGGACATGACATGTGCAAACGACTGCCAGGATTTTGGAAGGCGAACTGGATGGATCTTGGTCTTCTTTCAGCTAACATTTCTTAGGTTTTTAATTCAATGGTGGCTCCAATAGTTGTGTGGGAGTCGGGTGGTAGGGGGGGCGGGGGGTGGAAAGAAGGTGTTGGTGCCTCACCTATGTAACATTCTTTAGTTAGTTTTCGATGGGCTTTAACTTGACCCGAGCATTTCTTGATGATGGGATAATTTAACTCTTAATTTATTAACTAACTTTATTAATTAACTCTAATTCGACGTAAAAGACGCAACACAAATGCAATCTTGTTGTTATTGTTGTTGTAATTATCACAGCAGGTGATTTTCACCCCTTTTTTAAAAAAAATATTAAAAAAAAGAAAATCATGAAATCACGCATTTCACATTACTTCAAAGTGGCGAACCACTGACCTCCAAATCCAATTGAAAGTAATTAAACAGCAAAATATTCCCACGATTAACAATGTAAGGTGAGGGACCTTGGTGGTTTCACATCATCTTCTATCTTCTTTAAGGTAAATTCTTCAACTATAAGGCACACACACGACTGTACAGGAGGATAAACTTTGTTTTCGGGTTTTTGAGTATTCAGCACAAAATACATTGAACAAGGAAGTCAGCTTAGCAAAGGCAAGCCACAAGAGAGTGTTGAATGGTTTAAGCAGTCCCCTGCTCCCTATGCCAATAATAATAATCCTTGCATTTGATATAGCGCGTTTTCAGGTCTTTGAGACGTCTCGAAGCGCTTCACAGAATACACTGTAAAGTGAATTGACTGTATATTTGTGGGCGAAACGCGGCAGCCAATCGAGCACAGCAGCGTCCCACAAACAGTCGTAGTTTGAAGTGACCAATTTTTTTTTGAAGGATTATTATCAGGCGTGTGGAGTAAGGAAACTTGCCCAAGGGAATTCCTGCCGGGAATCGAACCCAGGTCTATCGCTTGTGAGGCGAGTGCTCTAACCACTCAGCTACAGGACTCAATTAGCATGGACAAGCATTTTATCCAGCCTTGTATGGACATTTGTCTCAAAATCACCTCACAGGTACGGGAGCAAGTGTGTTTTTTGGAGACAAATCCAGTAGCTATTAATAGCAGAACCAACCATGTGATAAATTATTTCTGTTGGCCTGGAGATCAAGAGACACTCCCTTCCCTTTTTCTCTGAACTGGGTCACAAGATCTTTAAAAGGCTTCGATTATCTTTGCTGATCAGATAGAATTTATTTAAATCTATCCCGTCTCTCCCAGAGAAAATAAGTGTGAGGAGAGATGGGGTAGATTGTGCAGCTACTTCCTATGAAGCTCTTTGAAACATCCTCCTGACATGAAAGGCGCTACATCAAATAATAATAATGATCCTCGCATTTGTTATAGCGCTTTTCACGTCTTCGAGACATCTCAAAGCGCTTCACAGAATATACTGTAAAGTGAATTAACTCTATATTTGTGTGCGAAACAGGGCAACCAATTGCGCACAGCAGCGTCCCACAAACAGTTGTGGATTGAAGCGACCAATTTATTATTGTTTGTTTTCCTTGAGGGATTATTGTGGAAATGTAAGGATTATGACTAGTTATTACTGTATTGTGAGAACCACTGTTAGTATTTTAGCTGATTAGCAAGCGAGGAGAGACAAATATCCAATTCTGTCACCAATAAGAATGAATAATGGATATCAAAAGGGAAATACTGAGAGCTCTATTGCAGCTATTATTTTCTGAAAAATTATTGCAACATTTTTAAAAAGATAGAGAAACGAGACTAACCAAGAAGGAAGAGATGTGTGTGTGTGTGTGTGTGTGTGTGTGTGCGCGTACGGAAATTCAGGTTTTACCTAATCGCACAAAAAGCACAAGAAAAGGGTTCAATTAATACTTATGCCAATGTTCGCCCACTTTGTACTCGGTTGCTTTTTTCTGTTGCGCAAGCATAGGACTGAGGAACAGCAGAGACAGCTTACTGTAAGCGAACTCTGGGTGAGAAGCTGAGTTCACAAATTCAGCTGACAATAACATTTAAACACCACAAGTGTCAAGTCCTCAGAATAGCAAAGTTTCACTTGTATGGCAATTTTGTTTCTCTCTCTCGCTCTCTCTCTCTTTGCTCTTATCTCCCCTGCCTTCGTAGAGAAGCCGGCAAGTTGGGGTTTTGACTGAATTAGCTTTGCCGTCCTGAAATCAGAGAAGTAGAACCCTTGCCAAAATGTGCTAGTGTCAATGCTTCATGTTAGAACCGAGAGCCTTGGGTCGAATCGACATTCGCCAGTTCGCTGTAATAAGCGGGGAGACTATTTCACGAGCTGAGCTGCCGAAACCAGCTTAAGGTGATACCTTCTCAAGGAAGTTGAGATCGTGTTATTGCAGGGTAAACTTGAGCAATTGTGAGCAGGTCATCTTTCCTCAAAAGTCCCTTTTTATTAAAAACTGGTATCGATGCTAGAGCACCGCCATTACTGTAACCTTATTCATTCATTACGGCTTCTTTCACATTAAACTATCCCGTGGAGTGGTATTCAAGAGTCACAGTTGGAATCAAAGCGAGATGTAATGTGTTGGCAAATTTCGCCCCATTCAGAAATGGGTCTCGCTCTTTTTGACGTACAATATGGTGGAAATGTGCCAATGTGTTCAAGAGAAAACTTGGTGCACACACGAGAGAGAAGAAAACAGAGGGCTATAGGAGAGGGGAAAAGGAAGGAGTGGAAGCTCATGTGGAGTTTAAACACCATAAGGGACTAGCTAAATTGTTCTGCATAACTTACAATGAGCATGGCTTGTTGGCAACTCTCCTTATTCCTGCTGATCACCATTCAACCTTTCAAACAAAATTCCTCCAAACAGCCACTCAGTTCAGATTCTTTGAACTGCATGAACCCAGTAGTTGAAGAATTACCTTAAAATTTGCCTTTTATTCCTACTTACTTTCAAACGTGAGTTGGAGGTGGGATCTTTCACATAAAGAGCGTTTTGAGATTTACGTACGGATTCGTTTTTTAAGCTTTTTTCTGGACTGTCAGTAGCATCTTTCGACTTTGCACATCCCATGTTTCTGAGGGTAAAAGATAAAATGCCATCGATTAAAATTATAAAATATTTGTTCGTCATTTGGTCAGAAGAGTGTTCATTAGTTTTGTCTGTCTCAATATTTCACAATCTTAACCTTACGCTCAATAAGCAGCAGGTTAGTCGATTGGTGGATCGCTTTCCCAGGGTAATAATCCCTCAAAAAATAATAATAATAATTTGGTCACTCAGTCCACGACTGTTTGTGGGACACTGCTGTGCGTAATTGGCTGCCGTGTTTCACCCAAAAAATACACAGTCAATTCTTTTTTACAGCATATTCTGTGAAGTGCTTTGAGACATCTCTACGAGGTGATAAAGCGCTATATCAAATGCAAGGATTATTATTATCATTAATAAAGCCAACCAATTGCCCAATCAACTGTCCATTTCCAAGTCCAGAATTGTCAGTTCATTATTTACATTAGATGCACAAGAGACTGGTGTAAAACCAGTAAGTGCTCTAATGTGCAAGTTGTGTTAACTTATTATTTTGGTGGGTGAGCTTTTTCTTAAATGGGATAACTTTACCCAGAGTACTATAGGAGACAAGGATCAGTATCCTCGCTATTTAAATCCACCTAAACTATTCACCTCCTGATAAAAACTCAAGGAACTGTTAGGCAAAAGCATCCAATCCAATTGTAATCGAGACAATCTGCACACAACAATGTTCTCACAAACAGCCATGAAGTGAATGACTAATATTTAGCTGCCCAGGACACTGGGAGAAACTCCCTTCTCTTTCCGAATAGTGCCATGGGATCAGTGGAGTCCTGGAGCTCAGTGGTTAGAGCACTCTCCTCACAAGCGAGAGACCTGGGTTTGATTCCCGGCAGGGGGAAACCTTGGGCAAGTTTCCTTACTCCACACGCCTGATAATAACGCCTCAAGTAAAAATACAATAATAATTTGGTCACTCAATTCGCTACGGTTTGTACTGACCCATTATATTCTGTGAAACGCTTTGAGACATCTAGAAGACGTGAAAAGCGCTATATGACGTGCAAGGATTATTTTTAACATCCACCTGGACAGGCAGATGGGGCCTCGGCTTAATGTCTTGTCTCATCCACAGGACGACACCTCTGACAACGCAACAGCCCCCCAGCACTGCACTGACATCTTAGATAAAAACCATAAGCTCTGATGTGGGGCATGAACCCACAACCTTCTGCCTCAGAGGTGAGAGTGCTAGCGACTGCTGGTTAATGAAAAGTTAATAGGGTTTCCTTTAGAACAACAACTGCATCAACAACCTGCATTTATATAGCGCCGTTCACTTGGGGTAGTGTCCCAGAGCACTTCACAGTGGCAGAGTCTGATAACGAGCCGGGGGAGAGGGAGTGAGGAGGTGACAGTGTACACAAGAGGATAGAATAAATAATAATCCTTACATTTGATACAGCGCTTTATCACGTCTTCAAGACGTCTAAAAGCCCTTTACAAAATACACTGTAAAGTGTAGCGGCTGTATATTTTGAGGGCGAAACGCGGCAGCCAATTGGGCACAGCAGCGTCCCACAAACAGTCGTGGACTGAGAAATTAAATCAGCTTCAAAATTATTATTATTATTAATGATTAATAACAATTATTAATACTAATTCAGGTAATCGTTATTTCAGAACAACCAGCCCTCTCATTTATGTGACAGTTTTGTTAAGCACCCAAACAATTGTCAATGTTTTAAAAGGTAACTTCCAGAAGATAACAGCACGGCAGAAATTACCTTAGTTTAGAACAGTAACTTATATAGCATCCTTTGTGCGGTTAACAGTGGCGGAGTTTGATGGTGAGCTAAGGAAAGACAGGTTTTCAAAGCAATAAATAGCTTGCAAGATCTCTCTTATACATGTGCTTGTGGGTTCATGAAATAGACTGACTGTTATCTGTTAAAATGCACAAACAATGCCCTTTCTCAGTGTGGTAAAAAAAAGGTGTTTTTGTCTCAAAGGTGCATGTTCAAACCAAGAGAGTATAACACCAGACTAGTGGGGCTGAATGGCCTATTTCCGTGCTGCAACGTTCTGCGTTAGCCAAAGACTTGTAAGATTTTGGGCCTCAGGAGCCTGAACCCAATCGATTTAAGATCCTCGTACTCATCTACAAATCACTTCTTGCCCTGGCACCTCCCTACCTCAACAACCTATTCACACCCCACTCGTCTACCACTTCGCTCAGCCAGCTCTGCCTGTCTCTCCCCCCACCCCAAACCTCGGGAACTCCCTGCGTCAATCTCTCCGCCTCGCACCCTCTTTGCTCTTCTTCAGATCACACTGAAAGACTTTCCTCTTTGATTGTGCCTACGGTCACCTAACCCCGAGGTCTCCCTTGCTCGGTGTTAAGCGCTCCGAGACGGCACGCTGTGTAAATGCAAACCGTCGTTGTTGGGTTTCAGCAAGGAAAATCTCCATAAGAGAGAGGCTAACGGTCCCCATTGCAGGGCGCATGGAACTGAGAAGCAAATTACAATTCGCTTCTTAGAAACGTTGAGCGACAGAAACTGGAATAAGGATTGAAATCAAGTGATGTTGTCAAGTCCAGTAATGGATTGGACGAGGAATCAGCCTCGATTCTTAACAGTTTTGAATTAAGACGGCTGCAAAACCAACAATCCCCTCAAACTGTATCCCACAAATCTCCTGAGACTGTCCATGATTAAGACAGGCAGAGAAAAAGCAAGGTACTAAGATTTTCATTGCAACTTGCAGGCTGAAAGATCTCAAAACGTTTCGTCCGCAAAATATGCAGTCAATCCACTTTACAATCTATTCTGAGAAGTGCTTTGTGACGTCTCATCAATGTGATAAGGTGCTACATCAAGTGCAAGGGTTATTATTTTTTTTATTATTATTAAAATGCTGAACAGAAATTGTCACGTGTACTGATTGTTCTTTTAGTCCGAGGGAAACAAATAGCGCACACTCTATCTTAATAAAGTCATTGGCAAAAAATTGAAACAATGTTTATTAGACTTATTAAAAAAGGTGTGGAATTCAACATTTTTCATTCTGCGCCTAGCGTCAGCCGCTCTTACACTCCTAACCTCTGAAGTAAGGAAACCTTGGGCAAGTTTCCTTACTCCCCACGACTAATGATAATCCCTCCAAAACAAAAATAATAATAAATTGGTCATTTTCAATCTACGACTGTTTGTGGGACATTGCTGTGCGCAATTGGCTGCCGCGTTCGCCCACAAATATACAGTCAATTCACTTTACAGTGTGTTCTGTGAAGCGCTTTGGGACGTCCTCCCGACGTGAAAAGCGCTATATCAAATACAAGGATTATTATTATTACTCACTTTACAGTATATTTTTTGGGCAAAATGGATTTGTTGCAATTTTATTAATTATTTCTGGTATCAACCGGTACCAGCCAATGGTTAGGAATCAACCATTCCCAAACTAACATGGGACCAGATACACATAATAATAATCCTTGCATTTGATATTGCACTTTTCACGTCTTCTCAAAGCGCTTCAACAACAATAACACAGCTACAGTGGAGTCCTGTAACTCAGTGGTTAAGGCACTCGCCTCGCAAGCAAGAGATCTGGGTTCTATTCCCGAGCAGGACGAAATGTTGGACAAGTTTCCTTACTCCACAAGCCTTTGTTTACCTAGCAGGAAGTAAAAACCTGGTTGCTAGTCGATTTGTGGATCGCTTTTCCGAGGATAATAATCCTTAAAAAAAATAATAATAATTTGATCACTCAATCCATGACTGTTTGTGGGATGCAATTGTCTGCCGCGTTTCACCCACAAATATACAGTCAATTCACTTTATAGTATATTCTGTAAAGCACTTTGAGACGTCTAGAAGACGTGAAATGCAAGGATTATTATTATAATTATTATTATTATTATAAGGGACGTACATCTATAAGGGTTCATAATTCTTTTGATGTTCTGTACATTGATAGGAACTACTTTATTTTCCCGATAGAAAGGTACTTACTCTCTCTACAAAGCATTTACTTGTGCAATCTGGTCAGCCTTTCTCGTACACTTTAAATAAAGTTATGGTTTCTCAGAATGTCTTTATAAAAAGAACCACACGACACAGATTCAATACTTTGATGGATTTCACATCTCGTACCAAAACTGAATGAGGTGACTAACCGGCTCAGCCTGACTCACTCTTGCCTGTGGGTTCATGGGTTCAAACCCCCCCCCCCCATGTCGGGACTTTGAGCCCATAGTCTTGGATGACACTCCAGCACAGTGCTGGGGCAGTGCAGCATTGTCAGAGATATCGATCTTCAGATAAGACAATAAAACTGATGTCTCGCATGCCTCTGTTCAGACGGGGGTTAAAGATCCCGTGGCGCTATCTGAAAAGAGAAGGGAATTTCTCTCTCCCAGTGTCCCGGCCAACAATCCCCTAGATAAAATTGTCCATTCTTGTCAAGTTTGTGCAACATTGCTGTGCAATCATTAGCTGCTGCATTCAACCTACAAAATGCAGTTACTGCACTTCACAGCAAACCTTTTGAAGCAATTTGAAACTTTGTGATCCTGAGCCCACAACCTTCTGACTCAAGTGGCGTTAACCACTCCAAAGCCAAGGCCAGGCTGGCACCTAAAGCCATCACATGCTCAGCTCTCGGGGATGCCTAGAAGAATACATCGCTGGTCCCCAGATTAACAGAGTTGTACATTGCTGCTCTGGTGTCTAATGTGACCCACTTGGAGGATCAGTGACACACCAGCATTTGCAGAGGAACAAAACAGGTTTATTAACCTGATGTCTGTGCTGGCACTGAAAGTAAATCAAGATTGGAGCGAATGCAACAATGATATTACACTGTAAACAGGAACACTCCGATGACATTTTGGCAGCGACCAAACTGGAATTATGCAGCAAACAGGAACTTACAATATTCATATTCAACAGCTGTTCAGAATTTATGTCGAAAGCATTTCTGCGAACTTGGCTAAGCAGAAATCCCTCCGTCAATCTGAACAAGGAAGCATTTTGTTTTAAATGTTAAGTGTTGCAAAGGTTTTAGGCAAAGAATAGCTCATTGCTTTGTAACTCAGGATTCAGAGACCTTTTGAACTAGTGAGAAATTAGTTGCAATGAAATCAATTAAATTTTTGGGGAACTGTATACAGTCGGGGACCGCAGGCTTTACATTTTGTTATCATTAAGTGTTTATTTTTTGGGGAGGAGGGGAAGGGGTACATGTAAGAGACTGATGAGGAAGAAACCCAAGGGGTGCCGTTTAGAGCCAGGCTGACACCTACATGAAGAATGACTACATAAAAGCAAGTTGTTGTTGTTGTAAAGAGCGAAAAAGGAACAAATTAGCCCCAAAAGAGGCCAGTTCATCTTTACTGTGGAATGAATCACTGTGAGATATGACATTATAGACACTATATGTTTATACTACTGTGCTGTGTGCAATTGGCTGCCGCGTTTTGCCCACAAAATACACATTCAATTCACTTTACAGTATATTCTGTGAAGCGCTTTCAAACATCTCGAAGATGTGATAAGGCGCTATATCAAATGCAAAGATTATTATTATTATTATTACATCAAAGGCAAGGGTTCTTTATTAGGTTAGTTAGGTTATCCTACGTGAAAGGCACTACATAAAGGCAAGTTGCTGTGGAAACGTTCAATAAAACTTGGAATAACCTGACTCGGGTTGGTACGAGGTGAAGAGATTTCAGATCTGCAGCTGAATTCAGAAGAAAATGGTTCACATTCTTCACTTAAACTGCCCTAGTTAACAATTGCACCTTCTGCTCCTGTTACTGCACTTAATTTAATTGATTTCATTGCAACTAATTTCTCACTAGCTCAAAAGGTCTCTGAATCCTAAGTTACAAAGCAATGAGTTTTCATTGCCTAAAACCCTTACAACACTTAACATTTAAAACAAAATGCTTCCCTGTTCAGATCGACAGAGGGATTTCTGCTAACTAGCTGTTAAGCCACTTTAGCCAATCCAGGTTCTGTTGCGTTAGTTAGTTCCTTCCTTCTCCCCCCATTTACGCCACCAATTTCACAGCAATCATTAGTCTCGCTTAAACCCACATTCATCAAGTCTGGTTTCAAAATTGCGATGACGTAATTAACGTATAGAAATTACGCTGTCTAACATTCCCGAACACGGTTTATCAATAGCACCGGGAACACAATGCCGTTTAAACATCAATAAAACCATTTGACCAGGGCCTGGAGGCCAAGCTTTGTCTATGTAACCAGGAAGAGGAACAAATATTGTGAATATAATATTCAACAACATGAAATGACTGCTCCGACATGAATTAAACAATCACCCACAAAATACAATCACTACACCAGTAGATTACGATTTACCTAAAAAAAAACAAAGAACTCGACAGGAACTACTTGTGTAGCGCTTTGAGATGCGATCAGGTTGTCCAGGACATGGGTGAAAGCCTCACTTCTCAAACCGTGCCATGGGTGTTTTTAACATCCACCTGAACGGCCAACAACAACAACAAATTACACTTGCATAGCTCCCTTCACGTCGGAAAGATGTCCCAGGGCGCTGGACAATCAGGGAATTTGAACCCGAGCTGGGAGTTGGGGTCTGTAGCTATGGACGGCAGGAGCTGTGAGGGTGGATGGGTGGCCAAAGGCACGGTTGAACAGGAAGGTCTTTAGATGGGACTTGAAGGAGGCAAGAGAGGGGGTGAGGCAGAGGGGTTACTCGATAGAGTTCCAGAGTGTGGGGGGCAGAGATGCTGACCACCAATGGTGTGGCGGGAAGTGCGGGAGACCTGGAGCAGACTGGTGTCCATCGAGCGGAGGGAGCATACAGGCTGATATGAGGTTAGGCAGTCACAGAGCGAGGGGGGAAAGCAAGACCATGGAGGGCTTTGAAGGTGAGTACAAGGGTTTTGAACTCGATTCTCTGAGGAATGGAGAGCCAGTGAAGCCAGCCAAGGATGGGTGTGATCGGTTTGCGGACCCTGGTGCGGGAGAAGACACGAGCGGGCAAGACGGGAACGTAGTTTAAAACGTCTCCCCACCGAAAGACGACACCTCCAAGAACACAACTGTTCCCCCATCCAACCCATCCCAACCCCAAGCACCGCATTGGAGCAACAGCCTGGACTGTGGAGCTTATTAACCGTGGATATTGTGGATAATAACTCATAAATACTCAATGCTTGCTAGCTCCTTGACTGAGTGCTGTCAGAGTCAGATGGTTTCAGTTCTTCATTCCTAGACCGGATGTGTCCGAGAAACCACTTTAAACATTTATCCACTTAGTGCAACATTTTTTTGATGGAAATGCCAACAAAGGACATAGAATATATGAATGCAAGTTCCTTATACGCCAATCATTTCCAACCCCAACGCCCTGCCTGCCTCCTCCCTATTCTGTTGCTGTACCCAATGCTGAAACAGCCAGTAAGCAATATTTGGCTGGTTTTCCACAGTGACTGTGTCGCAGAGTTTCAGACAAACTGTGTGGGGTGCAGGAGGGCGTGTGAAGAGAGGGAGAGTTGAAATGATGGAGATACTTTGTCATTGGGAACCAGAGGGAACGCTAAAACTTTCTTGAACTTATACAAGCCCCACCTGAAGATGCAAGTCATTTTTGCCCACAAAACACAGTCACTCCACTTTACACTAAATCCCAGCGAAGTGCTTTGAGACTTCTCGACGACGTGAAAAGGAGCTATATCAGACTATATGAAAATATATGAAACATTTCACCCATAAAATACACAGTCAATTCACCTCCCAGTATATTCTTTGAGCGATAAGGCACTACATCAAATGCGAGGATATTATTATTATTAATATCATTATAACGTGCCCTTATCTGGAGGAGATCAAAGAGCAGAAACAACAAGGGTTTTGGACAGAAGAAACAGACCTCAGAAACCAGGAACTAAATAGACATCAGCAAACACTGAATAGTCACCAAAATGGTCCCTTCTCTCTAGACATGAACCTCAGTGAAACTGCCTTTAGCTTCTGAGTTAATAATGCGAAGAGGAAGAGGGATTGGCAATTTAATAGGACACATTCACAGTCGTAGTTTAACTCAAGCAATGAGCTTAATAGGGAGACGGTTCGTTACCAGGCTGTGCAAACACCAAAGAGAGACAGGGACAGAGTTAAAGGGCAGAACAACAATCTCATCGCTTTTATAAATATATTTTTTTGAGGTGGGGAGGTGGGCTGTGGAGGTAAAAGGAGGTTGGGGGTGACTGTTAATTGATACAGTTTTTTACATGCAACAAAATAAGAAAAATTGCAATTTTTTTTGCTGGAGTTTCCCAGGGAAAATTTAGCACTAGTTTTTTTTGTCAAGCTTTGAGATTACCCCCCCCCACCCCCCCACACACACACACACAGACACACATTGACATAAAATAAACTTACCTTTTTTTTCTCTTTGAACCCCCACTTTTTCCCCTTGAAATCAGCACGAATTGGGCAGGAGGTAATATACTCTGAATTGGATCAGGGGGGAGAGAGAGAGGGAGAGATGGAGACGGACAGAATATAGGTGGTTGGTTCCTGATCACAGAACCCAGTAAAGTTCCATCGTCTGTGTAGACAGTCAGATACACACACAACACACACAGAGGTAGGTCAGTAGGTAGGATTTGAACGATTAAAAAGGCTGATGATTCTTGCTACATGACCAGTTCCTGTATTTTGCAAGAAGCTTTTACATGTAGCTTGTAAAACGAGTCAGATTTGGCTGCAAAAAGCACCGCCCACTCTGCGAGCTGTTAATTGGTGGCTTAAAAATAAAAAATAGGCGACTTTTTATTTAAGGCTTTGACTGACTCACTCACATCACTCACTCGGTGTGTCAAGTTGACATGCTGCTAAAATAACCAAGAATCTACATTCTGTTGAGTCAAGTTAACACTCGGGACCCACTTTGCCTGTTGAATTCCTGTCATTGTTTATCATGAGTTATTGGAGAGTTATTTGCATTGCAGGGGGAGGTGTCTACTGTTTCTGTTGTTGCCTTGAGACCTTTGGTTATTTTAACCCGCGATCGATGGCGCGAAGATAGGTTATGCTACACAGTGCATTTAACAACTTGCCTGAAGTCACTGTCAAGAGTTTGCCACACTTTCCAGTGCCTTCTTGAATAAGTGATAGGTCAACTTTAAACACCCACCCCACCACCACCCCCTTTATTTGGCAAACCTGGAAAGTGGCTTAAATCGTGTCTAAGTATTTTTGTTCTATTTGCCAGCAACACAATTCCTATCCCGCACCAGGCTCCGTGACCCTATCGCCCCTATCCTCGCTCGACTCCACTGACTTCCCATCACACAGAGGATACAGTTCAAGATCCTGGTCTTCCCTTTCAAAGCCCTCCATGTCCTCGCTCCCCCTTACCTCTGCGACCTCCTAACCCCCTACCAACTTGCCCGCTCCCTCGCTCAGCAGGCTCCGGTCTGCTTCACATGCCTGGCCTTGCCCACCCCACCTTCAGCCACTCTGCCCCCACCCTCTGGAACTTCATCCTGCAGTCCCTCCGCCTCGCCCCCCTTCCCTTGCCTCCTTCATCCTCGCTCTCCACCCTCCCCAACCCCCAGCTCGGGTCTGAAACACTGACTGTCGCTGGCCTTGGGACATCCTCCCGACGTGAAAGGTGCTTTACAAATGTAACTTTGTTGTTGTTTTTGGCTCCTCTTCCTCCTGAGATCAAGAGTATTAAAGCTGTCTAAAGCATTTGTTCCCTAGGACTCGTCACTTTTAAACAGGAAATATTAGAGACTGACCAAGTGCAGGAATCCTACCTCCTGGGCCATGATTAACACAAGTCATTGCTTAACTCATATAGAATTTCAATTGTTCTCCACCACATTAAAACCCAGCATGAGATGGCTCCCAGGGGCTATTATCCTTTGGAGAGTTCTTGCAAGTAACCCTTCATTATAGCAATATCTGCCTTGATGAACTTAATGCTTCTTCACCGACCAATTAAAATTGGTCAATCACTCCATGGGACATCGCTGCACACAAATTGGCTGCCACATTTGCCCACAAATACACAGTCACTGCACTTTATGGTAAATCCTGTGAAGCGCTTTGAGATGTCCTCCTGATTGGAAAGGAGTTATACCAAATGCAATTGCTATTATAACCTTTCCTTCCTCCACATTTTTTTTCAGATTCGCCTCCAACAAGTGACTAATGCTGGACACCCCGCTGTTAGTCAGAAGGGCTTGTGGTTCAGTTTATAAAGATACCGATTGATACCATCAGCACTACTCCTCTGTGAACCTCAGGGAGTTTCGCTCATACAGTTCCATGGCTCAAACAAACGAAACTCACATCAACTCTTCAAATGGGAATCCTGTGAGAGACCTCGATATTCTCTCTTTTTCTTCTTCTAATGATATTCCTTGGATAATAATAATAATACCCTCCTGCCACTGAATCCCCGATAATAATAATAATAACCCTTGTCTTATCATGTCGTCGAGACTTTTCAAAGCCCTTCACAGGATACACTGTAACAACAACAACTTGGGTTTATACAGTGTCTTTCACGTTGGGTAGCGTCCCAGAGCGCTTACTGTAAAGTGGATTCACTGTTCATTTTGTGGGCAAAATGCGGCAGCCAATTGCACATACAGCAGCGTCCCATGAATAGCTGTGGAGTGAGTGACAAATTCCCATTGTGTTCGAAAAGGCCCATTACTATGGCTCCAACTGACTTCCCTGTACACTTCCCATAGCCGCGATGTCCTTTCTATAACAAGACCCATCTCTCCGAATGCAAACTGACCGACACCTTGTGTAAATCTATCATTTAATGGGCTGCAGTAACCAATGCCCCTATTTAATTCCCAGAGATACATACATTTCAATTATTGCCACTGTCTACATTCAGAGCCTGACTGCTTACCTCGTTGCTCTATTTCCGTAATGAATAGGTTTCGCTCGGCTTTAAATAGGATCCTTTTTTTCAAAGAAAAAAACTGGCAGTGCCCAAAAAAAGCTGCCCAGCACACGATGGACTACTTATTGGCAGCACATGAAAGTGTGTCAGGGTCCCTGTGAAAAAAAAGCTAATTTAATGAGCTAAGAGAACTCTGACTTTTGTCACTCTTTAACTGGAGCGTTGGGCAATTGAGCGACTTCTGCTGGTAGGAGTGCACAACAGCAAGGGATTTTCTTATCTCAAGTGCGTTGTGCAGTATACTGTATATTGCTTCCTCTCAGGATGTAGCTGGCTGGGTTTTAGGGCACTGGATATTGGCTACTATATTAAGTACTTCAGTGTTTCACAGCTGTAGAGAAACTATAATAATAACCTTCGCTGTATCACATCTTTGCGACATCTCAAAGTGCTTCACAGACTCGACTGTGAAGCGAGTTGATGTGGCAGCCAATTATGCACAGCAGTGTCCCACAAACAGTTGTGGATTGAGTGACCACACTTTTTTTTAGGGGATTATTACCAGGAAAAGCGATCTGCAATTGACTAACAACTGGGTTCCTACTTATTGCTAAGTAAACAGAGGAGTGTGGGGTAAGGAAACTTACCCAATGTCTTGCCCCGCCCGGGAATTGAACCCGGGTCCTCTCGCTTGCAAGGCGAGTGCTCTAACCACTAAGCTACAGAACTCCATTAGGCAGAATTTTCGAATGATAGGCTAAAGGAAGACATTTAATTCTTGAAGTCTACTCTACTGCAAACTACGGAGAAAGCTTTCCAAACTTGGCAACTCTCACAAGATAGGGTTTGGGTGCAGAAGGCCCTTTGACCCAATCAATCTCATCCCTCCAGAATACCCGCCCTCCCATCACAGCATCGAGGCTGTTTTGAGAATGTGTCACAATGTCCAGGCCCCAACAAACCCTTCCTGGCAACATCTGTTCCTGTAGGGGGTGAAAAGAAACATCCTCATATCTGTCCTGAAATTGCCCTTTGCCTCTCTAACCTTGTGTCCTCTCACCCGGCTGTCTCACTGAATCCGAGAGTTATTATTTCTCTATTTGATCACATTTTTCATTCCCTTCCCTTCCCCCTCCCCACAGGCTTTACAGCATACGACTGAAATAGCAATCCGTGGAGTCTACGGCCTAAGTTAGTTTTGACGCAGCTGTGAATGGTGTTCAGTTCTGAACTCGAAACAAATGGCTGCGTCGGACACTGGGATGTTAAACCACTTAAACTCTCCCCGTCGATCACCCTCACAGAGTTCTATCGCGCATCGCTTCCAAAGATGTCCTGAATGTGTCACCAGGTATACACCAGGGGAATATTTTTCTGCTCATGTTACCAGCATGCAATACATTTGTCCTGTTTCACAATGGCCAAGAATAAAATTACAGTTGTTGCGAAACTTTCTTTTTTTACGCAAATCCAGATAAGGTTCTCTGGTCCCTTCTATGCGGGGGAGCAAGTAGAGGGATTAAGAAAGGAATGCGACGTTTTACACACACCCACAAGGGAATCTACATGAAGAATTCAATAGTAATAATAATAATCCTTGCACTTGATCTAGCGCCTCATCACGTTGTCGAGACGTCTCAAGGACCTTCACAGAATATACTGCAAAGTGGAGTGACTGTATACTTTTGTGAGCGAAACGCGGCAGCAAATTGCGCGCAACGGAGTTCGCAAACAGTCGTGAATTGAGTGACCAAATTATTATCAATTCAAGTTGCTTTCCTTCGAGCTTTATCCAGTGCCTGTAGCTCAGTGGTTGGAACACTCACTTCTCAAGTGAGAGGCCTGAGTTTGATTCCGGCAGGGGGTGAAACCTCGGGCACGTTTCCTTACTCCACACACGCCTGATAATAATCCCTCAAGAAAAAAATGAATAAATCGGTCACTTTAATCCACGACTGTTTGTGGGGACGCTGCTGTGCGCAATTGTCTGCCGCGCTTCGCCCACAAATACACAAGTCAATTCACTTCACAGTATATTCTGTGAAGCGCTTTGAGACGCCTCGAGGACGTCATAAGGGGCTGTATCAAATGCAAGGATTATTTCTTCTTATTATATTATTTAGTACCAGGTAAGTGCTGCCCTAGGCAACAGAGTGCTCCATCGAGTCGGGCTGTTATTTTAATAGATTAGTTCCTGTAGATTATCCATGCGGGACAAAGGAATGTGTGTGCTCAACAGGGAAGTGCCAAGAGATACCGTTTCAATTTGAATACTTGAGCGTGCAGTGAAATACACATTCTTTTTTATTTTAAATTTGTTGCTCAGTTTGAGTCTTCATCTCGGGCTCAACTAGTGACCTTCACTCCACTTGTCGGTTGGATTGCAGGCGCTCTGAGCTCTGACCAGCAGCCCAGTCTTCCGGCTGGTCTGTAAAATTAGGAAGATGGAAACCAAACTGTGGTGACCTCAAAGGAACTAATGTAGATCTAGAGGTAGTTCCTCCGCACTGAAAGGAAATGGAAAATCGCCTCAAAACTAACTGAAATGCTCTTCCCTCTCGCTGCGTCAGCTGAGTACTGTACGTCAATTTCAACCAAGACAAATGTTGCTGCTCACCCCCCCCACTCCTAAGATGCCGGGTCGAACGACAACTTGCATTTATACAGCCCTCTTCACTGGGTAGCGTCTCAGAACGCTTCGAGCAAAATGGACAACTTCAAATAAAGAGCAAACACGGTTCAGGTTGCA